CCCCTCTCTTGCTTGCATGCTCTCTCTCTCTCTCTGAAAATAAATAAATAAATAAATAAATAAATAAATAATAAAACTACAATGAGACACCACTACACATTCATTAGGATGGCTAAAATGAATGACTGACAATACCAAATGTTAGTGAGAATGCAGCATAACTGGAAGTCTCCTACACTGCTGGTAGGAAAGCAACTAGTACATATCCTATGATGTAGCAATTCCACCCATAGCTACGTACCCACATGAACTAAGGGCTCATGTCCATCAAAAGGTATGTATAACAACAGCTCACAATAGCTTTATTTGTATCAGAATAGAAATAACCCAAATGTCTATCAACATTCAAACAGATCCTTAATTTGTGATATCTTCATACAATGGAATGCTACACAGGATGAAAAACTCCCACTACATGCTACGTGGATGAATCTCACAGACTTCTATTGGAAAAATGGAAGCCAGGTTCAATGGTTTTACTTATATAAAGTTCAGATATAGGCAAACTGATCTATGGTTATAAAAGGAAAATTTTTTTAAAAATCTGAGTTTTTACTTGGAAGAAGGATGAAAAAACCTTTTGGAGGCTGGAAGTGTCCTTTTTTTTTTTTTTTTTTAATCTGAGTGACAGTTACACAGATTTCTGTTTCTACACACAGATATAGATAGATGTATACAACTATATTGCACTATATATATATGCACTTCTCAAAATATCGTTACCATGTTATTTCCGCTGCCCCAGGTGACCACTGCTATTATTGAATACTCAGAATGCTGGCAAGCTGAATCTGCTTTTAAATTTTAGCTCATTGAACTGTGCGTGGTTCCTATGAATGCTATGAATATGTATACAACTATATTGCACTATATTGCTTAAGATCTGTACCTTTGACAGGAGTCATACCTGAATTAAAAGTAAATAGAAATAAATTTAGCAGTTCTCTAATTAAGAACTGCTTTTACAGGAAAGGGAGCATATGTATATTCTTACGTTAGTTTACCTACTTTTCTAAAGGGAAGAATATTAAACAAAGAATATTTTTAAGCCACTATTATCTGGGCATTTTGAGAAAAGCAACTCAACTGATTGATAAGAGGCAACTTTCTAATCTTGCACCCTGAAATTAGACCAGGAGCCTTTGCGCCAAGTTAGTTAGCTGTTTAGAGCCCTTAGGCTGTGTTTCCTGGCACTTGTTAGGCAGATTTAACAGCTTCCACCTTGGAGTAGAAACAAAAATAAATCTGCACATTTCCAAGAAAAACAAAAGAAATTAGTCTCTACCCTCAAATCTGCTAAATAAAAGCATTCATAGGAACCACACATAGTTCAATGAGCTAGAATTTAAAAACAGATTCAGCTTGCCAGCATTCTGAGTATTCAATAATAGCAGTGGTCACCTGGGGCAGCGGAAATAACATGGTAACGATATTTTGAGAGGTTCCTGGAATCAAAACACAGGTCAGATTTTTCCCCTTTCCTTTTGTTTTCAGCAAAAAGTAGTTATTCTCATAGGGACTGGGGATAGTTATTTTCTCGGACTGTAATAACCAAGCATAGGATATTTCTTCCCACATCTAGCCTGACACAGCAAAGGGAAAAACGGTTTCGTGTCATTAGTTCTAAGCCAAGAGTGGAGCATACTCAATTCTGAAATGGGAAGAGCACAGGGCTCAGGGGACAGATTCTAGGTAAAAACAAAAACACCTATTATTTAGTGACTGGTGGTGAGATCTACTTGGAAGCAAGAGAATATAAAGCAGGTGGTAAAGTAAATCGAAGAACAAAGACATTTTGATATTTACTTTGTCATATTAAATTGTATGAATGTGATCACAAAGGATAATAGCAGTTATTTGCAGTTTGAATTTCATATAAATCTTTAAATGTGTGGATTTTTTTCAAGGCATCTAGCAAAGTCAGCTACTACAAATGAATAAAGAAATACAGTGGTTAACTTTGAAGCGTTTTGCAGTTTTGCTACTATGCATGAAAAATCAAATTTATAGAATAAAATATTTTTGTGGCTCCTCGATACTACACAATGAAGGACTGTTCATCTTTCACTGATCTATGACTTACTAATTTATATACAGCTTCATGATTTAGGAGAAGCTCAAGTCTTCAACATCATAGTAAGACATTTCTAACTATGGCTATTTGGGAGAAAGCCAGGATGAACTTGCAAAAAATTCTATATTGTAGAATTTAGAAAACAAATGTAGTTACATTTAGGTATAGTTCATGAACTACATTTAGAAAGCACTGGCAAACTGAAATCCTTAGCAGCTTGTTTTAATGAATAAAAGTGAGTTATTAGCACAGCTGTTCGTGGTAACCAACTCATTATATACATCAAAATTTTTTTGTGTTTTTTTACATCAAATTTGATTAACAATACTGTTAGTTTTCTTACAACCTCCCTTTTTAGTGAAGATAAAACATTCACAAATTCAGTTTCATTCAAGACAAATGTATTTCTAATCTGTTTTAAAAGGATTTGGAAGTTTGACCCCCTCCATATATTAGTAAGTTTATAAAGTAAAAACACTGTGACTATAACTACAAATACATCGCCATCAAACTTCCAGATGATGAAGAGTCATTCTAAGGTAGACAAATGGACCAGACTCCATGCCTTGAAGCTTGCAAAGTTAATCTCAGATACTTGTGCATTTGAAATTCTTATTTTGGGGATTCTCAACTCTACCTACCCCTGAATGGGCTTCCAAAGTTTAGACATATTCCTTGACTGAAGAATGTATCTTCTCTAAGAGGGTATCTCATTTCCTTTGGCAACATATTTAGGGGAATTATACAGAAAACAGAGAGATGGAAGAACCCCTACTACTTAGTCTTTCAGATCAAATGAATCTACACAGGCAACCAATGAGGACAGGAGCCTACTTTGATGTCCCTAAAAACAAAATCTAAATTGAAACGATGTCATCAACAAAAAGAGTGTATGAAGACTTAAATAATTTTAAATAAAAATCACATAATGAAATTAATGTGGTATCTTAATCCACAAGTTATCATTACTGAGTGGTCATTAAATAGCCATTAGAGAGCTATCTCATTTGTGACTTTAGCTTTAAAATCCTCTACTGCACTCAAATATAGACCTTATAGGCAAGAGGAATGGAAAGGAGTTTAACTGGAATTAGAAGTCATACCTCCACTACCACTTAAAATGTGAACATATTTATTAGTAACTTTGCAAAAACCACCGAAGCCTTAATTCCACAGGTGAAACAATTTCTTGAGGCTTTTAATCACTAGAGCTCTGCGGAAAAGCTCTAGTTCATCAGCCACCTCCTGTCCATACTGGATGCCTCCTTGCCTGTTTGAGTGCGGCTCCCTCTCAGGATTCTGGATTTTCTCACCAAGGGGTTTCCCCACCCTACCGGGCCAATCCCAGCCCTAGAAGGCTCCTCCGTGTGGACTGCTGACTGGCCAGAGAGGAAGCAGCATGCTGACCTGAGCTAATTAGAGATGACTGCTATTTCACTTCAATTCGAAACTTGATGTTGATTGTTGATGCAATTTTTCCAGCCCTCACTGAACCTCCAACACTCCTAAATATAGATATTTGGAAATGCACACTGTAAATGGGAGTATAACCATGAAGATGCAAAGGTCAAAGACCTGAGGGCGCCTTTCCTTCTGATTTTTGGCTTTACAGACCTAAATTTGTGGTGAGGTCCCCTAGATATGTGTTTGCTGTAAAAGAAAAATAAGTAGAGAAGTGGACAGGGAGTAAGTGCTCAGGACAGCTATATAAGCACTGAAGAGGAATTCTGCTTGTAAAATTCTTTAAATTTTTTTTAATGTTTATTTATTTTGAGACACAGAGAGACAGAGCAAGAGGAAAGGAAGGGCAGAGAGAGAGGGAGACACAGAATCTGAAGCAGGCTCCAGGCTGTGAGTTGTCAGCACAGAGAACAACACGGGGCTTGAAATCACAAACTGTGAGATCATAACCTGAGCCAAAGTCGGCGCTTAACTGACTGAGCCCCGCAGGGGTCCCCACTTTCTTTATGAGACCTTTACTCAATCACTCAGTTCTTTCTGCTCCAGTCAAGTATGATTCTCTTCCACCTCTGGGTCCTTGCTCTCCCTTGCCCCTAAGCCTAGAGGGTTCTACATCCCTTTTTACATTTATGTATAAATACTACTTCCTTCAAAAACCTACAATTTACCTGAGAGGCTTTTCTTCACTACCTCTTATCCAAACCTTGAGCCTCTCCTTCTACCATGATCTTTTTAGGATCTTTGTGTTAAGTAAACTCATTTGTTGCTTTTAATCATGTTTTGTGACTATCACTTGCTCTTCATAGGTATTGACAGTCCTCTTGAGTATTTCATAATCCAATATAGTTTAAAAAAATTTTTAAATGTTTATTTTTGAGAGAGAGAGAGAGAGAGAGATTGATTGATTGATTGATTTAGGGGCAGGGAAAGAGGGAGACACAGAATCTGAAGCAGGCTCCAAGCTGCAAGCACAGAGCCCGACATGGGCTTGAAACCATGAACAGTCAGATCATGACTTGAGCCGAAGTCAGATGCTTAACCAACTGAGCCACACAGGTGTCCCATAATCCAATATAATTTTTAAAATAATGTCAAAATAATTGAGTCACATTAAAATGCTGTTTTTAAAATAGGTGAAAATAGTCAAGTATCAACAGTGCTATAAAGTTCAACTTAATATTTATATAAATTCAAGAAATGCTCTAAAATAAGTATATCTCCTTGTCACCTTCTTCAAGACATTTTAGCTACTGCCCCACATCGTTAGGTCTCTCTTTCTAAAACCTATAAAAAGCTTCCCCTCAAAACGATTAGAGGGTTAGTGCTTTTTCCAAATGGTGTTAGCTATTATAAAAAAGTAAAAGAAAATATATTGTGTAACTGAAATAATGAAGGATTTTATAATAGTTCTAAAAATGCAGTGGTAAAGGAGAACTCAGGTTGAATAATAAAATCTTGAACTTACCTTCCTCTGTAGGATTAAACCCACAGATGTCACAAATGCAACGAACCCACTTATTCATCTCTTCCTCACTGTCTGCTACCAAGTAGAAAATTCGGTCAATGGTGTTGATATCAAAAATGTAGCTGTTTTCAAATTCTTTTTTGTTAAATGTCAATCCAGCATCAACTTGCTGACATAAATTTAAATCAATAATACGGATAGGCTTCTTGGCATGATCATTTTTGTAATATTCCAAGACATCTGGATCTCCAGTTAAGCGACCACTGCGTAACACAAACCATCTCCTCTTCCATGCCTAGGGATGAAACAAAAACATTCACCTAGTATTAATTTGAGGGAAATCTTTCAAGAAGATGTACATTTATCAATGTGAATTTTACAAATGAATTGTTGAGAGAAAGTCACATACATGTTTTGTTTCCATGGAATAATCTACCACTCCAGCAAATTTACTGATGCCTCAATTAACTTAAAAAAAGGTGTCTATATATATATAGTTATTATTTTCTATTAGATCTTCTAATAGAACATTAGAAGATATTGATTGATATTAGATGATATTACATAATGTAACATCAAGTCAATAAACCAAGGAAAACTGACTTTTTACCAAATATAAAGAAGCAGCATTTCAACATATGATGCCAGGAAAACTGGGTCTCACATGCAAAAGAATGAAGCTGGACTCTACATCATACAAAAATTAACTCAAAATGAATCATCAAAGACCTAAACATAGGAGCTAAAACTAGAAAACTCTTAGAAGAAAACACAGGGAAAAGCTTCATAACATTAGATTAGGCAATGCAGAAGAAACACAAAAGAAAAAAAAATAGGTAAACTGGATTACATCAAATTTAAAAATTTACACATTGAAGGACTCAATCAACAGAGTGAAAAGTCAGCTCACAGAATGAAAGTATCTGCAAATAATGTCTCATAAAAGATTAATGTCTAGAATATAAAGAGAATTCCTACAACACAGTTAACAACAAAAATAAATAACCCCGGTTTAAAAATGTGTAAAGGACTTCAGCAGATTCTACAAAGAAGATACACAAATGGCCAATAAGCACATGAAAAGATGCTCAGAATCACTATCATTAGAGAAATGCAAATCAAAACCACAATGTGATACAACTCCTTACTCATTAGAATGTCAGTTATCAAAAAAAGCAGAAAATAACAAGTGCTGGCCAGGATGGCAGAAATCAGAACCAGTCTGGAAAATGGTAAGGCAGTTCCTCAAGAGATTCCAATTGTATATGTCCAAAAGAATTGAAAGCAAGGTCTCAAACAGGTATTTGCACACTCCTGTTTTTAGTAGCATTACTCACAACGGTCAAAAGGTAGACGCAGCCCAAGTGTCCATTGATGAATGAAGAAATGAACAAAATGTGGAATATACTATTCAGTCTTAAAAGGGAAGAAAATCTAACACATGCTGTAACATGGATGAATCATGAGATGTTATGTTAACTGAAATAAGCCAGTCACAAAATGACAAAAAATTGTATGAGTCCACTTATATGAGGTACCTACAGTAAGCAAATTCATAGAGACCAAACGCAGAATGGTAGTTGCCAGTGGTTGGAAGGTAGGGCTAAGGAGTTAGTGTTTAGGGCAGAGTTTCAGAAGGGGATAATGAAAAAATTCTGGACATAGAGAGTGGTGATGATTACACAACAAAGTGAATGTACTTCATGCCACTGAAGCTGTACACTTAAAAATGTTTAAAATGGTAAATTTTATGTTAGGTATATCTTACCACATTAAAAAAAAAAAACCCACAAGGTTTTTCATGCCTTAATATTAAACCATAAAGAGTACATAAAGTGGGGGCACCTGGGTGGCTCAGTCGGTTAAGCCTCCAACTTCAGCTCAGGTCATGATCTCATGGTTTGTGGGTTCGAGCCTCACGTCAGGCTCTGTGCTGACAGCTCAGAGCCTAGCACCTGCTTCAGATTCTGTGTCTC